ATGCATACTGGACGTGTCCGTATTACAACGAACTATAAAACGGCTAGTTTTTCAAGGGGCTATAAATACCCCAAGCCTCCACCTTTGGAGGTCTGCTGATTCTTGACTTAGACACACGTTTTTGAGCCTTGCCAACCCTCTCTTAGTGAGTGATTGATCAAACTTGCAAAATCAATTTGTGGGTTGAGTGAAATTCAAAAGAGAGCCATCCAACCACTTGAGCACTTGTGCATATTGTCAATCTCGTGATTCGCATTTGTTACTCTTGGACTCTTCGGTCCTAGAGCGGTTAGACGTCGCGGAGAGCACCCGGAGATTGTGGTGTGCCTCGGAAAGTTTGTAACAGTCGATTCTGCCGCCTCGGAATCAATTAGTGGAAGGAGGAAAAGGAGTTGGAAAAGACTCCGGCTAGAGTGACCTTCGTGGTATCCTCTAGGGCTGACCTTCGCTGGGTCGCCCGCAGCCCCTCAACGGAGAGTAGGACTCGAAACGAGTCCGAACTTCGATAAAACAAATATCGTGTCTCAATTAGCATTTCATTTGATATTTGTGTTGCTCTAGCACTTGTGCAGTTCTCGTATACCGATAGTTAAATTAGGTGCCTGCAGTTTGGTTTGAAGATAGAAATCAAAAGGAGCAAGTTCGGGCTGATCTGCGAAATCGTGTATATCTGGGACACGTCCGGTATTCATACTCCGGACACGTCCGGTATTTCCTACCTGCACTAAAAATATTTATTCTCTGTTCTAACTTGATGTTGCGGGGTTGTAGCTTCTAGATATATTCTTTATACCTTGTTTACTCTGTGGCTAACTTGTGAGGGGTGATAGTACTCTTAATTTGGAGTTTCCATTTTGGAAACTCCCCTTTCTAATTGTTTCCGCATTTAAAGGTGTTAATTTTCAGAAACGCCTATTCACCCCCCCTCTAGGCGACATCCTATGTCCTTTCACACAGCCTCTTGTCACGCGCGCAGGCGTCCTCATGCGGCCCATTCGTCACCGAAGTACTTCGGGTTCACCTTCTTGGGCCTCTACGCCTTGGGCTGCTCTCTGGGCTGGCTTGTAGCTAGATCATCTCCAGATGGCGAGGTAGCAGCCTGCTAATAGCTTCACCTTGATGCCTCCACACGAATACATGGTGCTTCATGCCACCATCACACAACTGGAACGAGGTTCTTTGCCGAGGGCCGGATACGCTCGGCAAAGAAGCCTTTGCCCTCGGCAAAGGCTTTGCCGAGAGTTGCTCTCGGCAAAGGCCGGTCGGCACAGTACCTCACGGCAAAGGCTACTTTGCCGAGAGCCGCATCTCGGGCTCTCGGCAAAGGATTTGTCGAGGGTTAGCCGGCCGTCGGCAAAAATTTTCGCCGTGACAGCTGAGAGGTCACAGTAAAGTTGATCTTTGCCGAGAGCCTTAGCAAGCTCTCGAAAGAATTTTCTAAATTTTTTCCAAAAACTTTGCCGGCGCGTCTGTCGGAAGAGCTCTCGGCAAATAATATTGACAATTTTTTTTAGACATTTTTTTGCCGAGAGCTATGGCTCAGCTCTCGGCAAAGGCTTCCTCTTTGCCGAGCGTTATGGTCATGCGCTCGGCAAAGCTGGGATTCTGTGTGTTCCAGAATTCCCAGCTTTGCCGAGGGCATGACCATAGCCCTCGGCAAAGCCATAGCCAGTTTTAATTTTTTTTTGTTTTTTGCATTTCCAGTCAACAAATAAACATATATATGACATCCACATCACAATAAGCACATCCACGTATCAATAACCACATCCACATCACATAATTCACATCCACATCACATAGAAGTCTCAAAGTTCGAAGTCACAAACAAATCTCGACACATAAACAACCACAAGTGTAAAGTTCGACAAGCAATATAAACAAGAGGCACAGGAGGCGCCAAACTGGTCACGGCGACGGTCCAGGCTGAGAAGGCGCCGCGTGCGATCCTGGGGAGTTAACGAGAAGAAGGTTAGGGTCGTTCAACGCCGCCGACTGACGCTACACAAACAAAGAAGATGCAGAACGTGTTAGACAACATAAATAGATAACCAAGCACTACATGTACTGTGATCACATGCGGAGATGTTTGGGTTTTAAACATCGGACGTCGCAACTTGCTCGAAACCCACTCAATTTTTTATCACAGCCTATACATGCGATGAAATGACACCTCGACAAGTTTCGTGAATTTCGGACTTGATTTCCATTTTATATAATTTAAAAATACTTTACACGCAAGTTCCTCGCCGTGTTCCGTGAAAACGATGCGCCAAATTTGGCATCTGTCACTGGATACGGTCTCACACCACATGCAATACCATGAATATGATTTTTTGAATCACTTAATTCCAATATTCGATGCACCTGCAGTTCAAATTTGAATTACCGGGAAGAATTCAAGTAAATGAAATAAACTTATTAAATATAGCTAATAAAATCAAAAAAGCTCCAAATTTTAATATGTACTTTAAGGTACAACAGCAAATCCATGGAAAAAATTTGGAAGCAAAAAAAGTAATTTTTTTTTTGCCGAGGGCCAAATTCTGACCCTCGGCAAAACAGACGGCAGGCGAAGGCCGTTTGCCTGTCGTCACAAGTTTATCGACGGCCATGTTTTGCCGAGAGCCGGACCTCGGCAAAGATAAACTTTTGCCAACGGGCCTGTTTCCGGTAGTGTCAGCAGGAGGTCAGCTGCACTGGCCTGGTGCCTAGCGTCAAGTGGAACTGCGCATGGAGTCGGCTGGTCATCGCACCCTGGAGCCTTGGACTGGGTCGGGTGCAGCAGCCCAGCAATGGTTGATAATGGGAGATGGGAGTTGCTATATTTTCAAGTGTCTGAGTTTTTAGGAGTTTTCAAGCAACTAAAAAAAACCTTATACAATCAACTATTAAAATTTAAAGGATAATTCACAAGAGCTAATTCATTTTTTTCTCTAGTCAAACTATGACAAAGAAAATTATGCACCTGACATATAGGAGGAGGGTTCTTTTATTGATTTTCCAGCAATGGTTGTTATGTGTCTGCATCCGATTTTAAATAGGAGTTGGATGAAGCGTGGAACTAGCTACGGATGTGGGGACTAGGGAGGGGAGGGGAGCTACTGCTAGAGGTCCTTCTATTGCTTTGTTCCCTCTTTAGTCCACTGGGACAGGCTCAAACAACGGCTTATGTGGAAGCTGCGGCGGCGTTAGGCGAGCTCAAGCAACGGCTTATATACGTCAGATGTGGCAGTGCTAGGCAACCTTGAGGCACGGCTGCTGGGCGTGCTATAGTGGCACCACATCCCCCACAGGAAGAAAAGGTAGTGGCGCACAAGGGGGGAGAAGGGAATCTAGTAGGAAACAGATTGCAGTTGTCGTGCAGTGCGAAGACAAGCCCATCTAGAATTTTTAGGTCACTAGTTTGGCCGAGTCCATACTAACTGAACTTTTCATGGTTAGTTCGATTATATGTCTCGAGTAACCGAACTAACTGAGCATTTAGACCTTGTTGTCATATGTGTACTTTGGACTGTTATTAGTGATTGTGTAAGAAAAATGGCACCTTCCATGGGGACATTACGTGATTTTGGTATTTGATGAACAACATGAATGTTTGGACTAATAATGTTTGCTAGTATACAAGTTTTAGTTCATTGGATGCAAGGATTCGCTCAAACTTGAATCAAACTTTATATCGGCCTTCGTGGAGGTTGTGTTGAGCTGTCCAAACTAGTGGTTGCACCTAGAACTTGGGGAGAAAGTAGATCAAGTCGAACCCCTAGAAATTCAATTCAAACACAAGTGATAGTAATAAAAGCACAACACATAAGAGACACAAGATTTATCCCGTAATTCAGCTCACCACCAAGGCTTGCCTATGTCTACGTTGTTGAGGGATCCACAAAGGCTTAGAGTTTCTTGCAACTCCTACCTCTTCTCAAGACCACGTGGTAGTGAGCTTGAGGGTTTGACTAAGTCAATCCGGGAAATACAAAATTCTTGGAGCACCTCACAAAGCTTGGAGTGCTACATAGGAAAGCTCTAGCCAGCTAGGAGCCTTGCTCCTAGAGTAACAAACACCACCGGTGGCTAGGGTTCACCAATTGCTCAAATGGGATGGAGCTTCCTCTTCTCTAGCTTATCAAGTCTCTCTCAATGCCAATCACCACAAGGAATCACTAAAATTTGGAGCTTGGTGGTTGGGAGCATCAATGGAGGAGAGACGAATGAGTGCTGGTTAGTTGGAGTGGAGTAATGGAGAAGACAACCATTGGGGGAGAGAGGGGAGTGTATTTATACCCATCATCTTCCACAGAAATGGTTGACCAGGCAAAACAAGGAGGCTCCGCGGTGCGAAGGTTCCACGCAAGCCAGAAAAGATATGACATGTAGCTCTTGGCTATGGTAGGCTGGATGTTATTTGTGTATTGCATAGAGTTGTGAGCACTCGGAGGTTCCACGCAAGCCAGAAAATATATGAAATGCAAGCCAAAAAGAAGGGCACTATTGTGCTTGCATGCATATCTAGGTCGTATTCGCCATAGCTATGGGTGGCGATTGGGATTACATATTGCGATGTTGCTTGCATCGTGACCAAAAGCAGTGCCCAACTCGACGTATGTGCACCGTGACATGACGATGGTGCCCGTCACGACCGTGCGCATAGGGAGAGTGCAAAGAGATATAACCAACACGAATAGCATCATGACGCTTAGTCATTAGGTATCCTAAACGCGATGCATAGAAACCGAAATAACTTAAGAATGACACCAATTAAAACACAAGCTGCCACAAATAAAAAAATCAGACTATCATAACGCGGTAGCGGTTCACCATTGTAGTGCCCTCAACCTTTATTGAATTGCATAAACCGTTGTTCATCTATACATATAGGCGGCTTATACAACATGGAACGCGTATAAGACCTAAAATAGCACAAGACATGCATCCACGCGTGCGGTTGGTCATGGCGTCTCCAATTCATCGGAGAACTATATTGTGGCGACCAACCTAACCGACTCAATGGCACGGCGCATAGTGCGTCACCAAGGCACTTGGCCATGGCGGTGCTCCACGACCGACATGCCAACTCACACCGAACCAATAGAACGAAATATGTGAAAATCACCAGTTCTCGCTGCGCATTCGTACCTTACATCCGCCCGCACAAAATATGGTGCTAGACACAGTGGTCCACCTGAATGTGTCCAAATACCCAAAAACAAGACTATTTTTAGTAGCATGTCGCGGTCATAGTGGGGATTTCGCGACCGGACGTGCTATCCCGAATTCGTAACCGGTCGGCACGAAGGCACGGCAACAGTGTATACACAAGACCTCCCGAAACCCCATCTATTGACGACGACCTCTATGGCACCAGCACCGTCCCCTCCGGTGGCAGTAGTTGGCAGTGGCAAGGTGGTGGTCCAGCAGGGCTTCGCGGAGTGGCGGTCGTGGCGCGATAGCAAGGGTTTATTGATATGAAGTGCTCGCATGGACAAAGCGGTGTGTGGGCTCCACGTCGCTGCCCGGTGCGGTCTCGGCGTCCGATAATCTAGATATGATAATATTTTATTACTTTAATTTTCATATCTATATCTATACCTAATATTAAAGACACAAAATTTCTCTCCCCCATTTTTTTTGGTCCGTCTCCCTCTAACTATAGGACAATGGAGAGTTTCCTCCATCCGAACTTTTATATATATATATATATATATATATATATATATATATATATATATATATATAAATAATCCGTACTCATACGAATTAGAATAGCTCTTGTCTAATGCGATACGGAGTCTGATTCCAAACATACCTAAAATAGCTAAGAATCCTAATCCTAAACCAAATAGAGCCCTTCGATCTTCAATAATCTAAATAGGAATCATAATCCAAGATTTGTTTTGTTTGAGGATCAGCTCTTTTATTTTTCCAAACTGTATTTGCTTGAAACACTTTTTTCCAGCTTTTCTCCCACGTACGTGATTGTTTTTTATTTATATTTTGCAACTGCTTTTTAAATCTTGTGAACCGACTTAGATTCAAATAATGACTCTAGCTTTAGAAATTGAAACTCCAGTATAGTCTCGTGGCACGAAACGCCGATGTAATTTGGAATCTATTATTCGTTCCCGTGCAGTGGCCGGCGAGGACTCGCTAGACACAGCAAATTGGAATTTGGAGCATCTCCGGCAGTCTTCCAATACAATTTTCCCAATAAAATAGTTTTGGGTAGCCCAATATCACTTTGTAGATTTATTTGGAAAGATGCTGCAGCAGTACCCCCAATATATCTCCCCAGTACCTATATGAAAGGTGGGTCCCAAAGAAGTATAAGAGATAATATGGCTGAAAAGTGATAGTTGAGATGGTCCCCATGGTATTGTGGGAATTGTATCTCCCCCTTTCTTTAAGGGGAGATGAGAAAAATATTGGTGATCACAAAAAAAAGGAGAGGTATTGGAGAACTGCTAGAGCAAGAAAAAAACATAGCTATACTAATATGATAGTTTTATGGGGATAGGGAGAGGTGCTGGAGAACTACTGGAGATGCTCTTAGAGCTGCCTGCTCGGATTGGGAAGCTGTGATGGTGTATTCGATTTATTTGAGGAGAAAGATGCAGCAAGACCATTGGCATAAGAAAGGAGACGCTCTTTCCTACTGTTGCCTTTCTCGGTGGAGAGAAAAAGAATAGGAACTTAAGGATTTTCGTACAGCACTGTGAATTGAGAACTCGACCGAGAGCTTTATTTGTTTTACGATTTTTGGAAATCTAAGAAAGATATAAAGAGATAAATATGTGATTATATATTTGGGTTTTAAATATATCCCGTCACTACAAGAGCAATTTCTAGATCTCAACACTGAGGTCTAACCTTAGCAACCATACATGTTCCCACACGGGAATGAAAACCGAAACAGGAACTTGGGTGTTATTTTATAAATAATGTGGGAATATAAATGTTTATGTTCCCGGGACGTGGAACATGGGAATGTGGAACGTGGTCATGTTCCCGTTCCCAGGCTGCTAAGGGTCTAACTCAACTCGAGAATAGTTTGGACACGAGATTTAAAATTAGAAATGACATCGAAAATTGATCGAATACTCAACTATGGTTTATTTTTGCCTTCTCTACTCTGCCTGTCCAAATCCACCTGTATCACAAATAAAATTTCAAAACAATTTAGTTTGTACGCAAAAAAATACCAGCCTTCTTGCAGTCTTCCAGGCGATGTTGGAGAAGCAATGTCTGGTACCCTTGATGGACGTTAGTGCAACCTCAACTAGCCCGAAAGCTTAAGACTATGTTTGGATACAATATAGATTTGTGGAAGCCAGATTTTGCATCCTAGATTGTTGAAGGCTAGATTATAGAAGTTGGCTTTGAGCGGATGTTTGGATAATCCACATAGATTGTAAAAGCTGGAGCAGGCTACTTTTAAAAATAAAATTACCATAATGCCCTCACGCAGATGGGGATACCTGGACAGAGGGAAAAAAAGTGAAGGGCATATTCATTTTTTATATCCAAAAGCTGGTTTCCTCCAGCTTACCAGATTGTATAATCTAAGGCTCTTTGGATTGTAAAAGCTGGACAAAAGTTAGGCCTATATTCGAATCTTTGGTTGGCTTCTAGAAATAAGCTTCTATAAGCGCAGTTGCTTGCCATGCTGGATAGCTGTGCTCAGCCAATGCCAGTGGGGGAATAAGGTGGATGTGTAAGCAATAACGGTTGGGTGCTACGTTTTTCTTCCTTCCGTTGCAACGCACGGGTATATTTGCTTATGAAATATAAGTACTAAAGCAAATTATTTTATTTTCTTATGATAAATATAGAGTGTATTCAAAATCTTCTCCTATAGAGAGAATATATGCTTTAGAAGTTCATATTGAGGAATAAATCAAATTCATTTAAATCTTTTGCCAAAAACTATATAATTGGAAGCTTATTATGCTTATCTTTTGAAGGACCCTTGTATAAGAAAAGAATTTGTTTCGAGTATCAGAACTCGACTGGTTGTCTTTCTCATTGCTAGAGCAGTGGTTGAGGTATCTTATTTGACCATGAATTTGGAATTTATGACAATTTTTTATATATACAATTGGCTAAAACATTTTATCCTTGATCTGTCACCTAAAAAACTAATATCTTGTCAACGGTACTCTATAATTTTTAATATCTTACATGCCAATGTTGACTATATTCCAATAGTTTGAGGTAACCCACATGTTTTAATATCTTACATGCCAATGTTGACTATATTCAAGTAGTTTGAGGTAACCAACATGTCAAACTGACACATTTCCTCTTAACCTCAATAATCCTATTGGAGAATAGACTGGGGATTGGAGAATGAGAAAGAGAACTAAGAAATCACCCAAAAGTTCCCTCTTCCTAAGTCCTAGGGATATTTTATAGGAGGGGAGATGATAGTTTATATTTGTTTCCCTGGTTGGGCTAAGAATTACATATGAGTTCTCAGACTTAACCATTGGATTAGATCCTTGGATGTTTACACATATGCCCTTGAACTTAATTTTTCATGCCTCTTTTACTCATAGGGGGTGCTAACCTCTGACATGCCCCAATATAAGTCCCTCATCTATTTGGTTTTGGTTGCAACAACAAAACCTAATAGCTACCACAAGAAGAGGACTACTTATAACTCAGACTTCGGTTGCAAGGATAGCCCTTCACAACTTACATGTGTCCACCTCATTAGAGACTCCATCCTAAAAAACTATGGGAAAATGGCATGGAGAAAAGAGCACGCAGACAACTCAAATCTATAAAAAGATTGACATTTGACACTTTCATCTTTGATCTATCTTCAGTGGCCACCTTCACTTGAACCTTCATGATCTTTCCTTCAGCGACCTGATCCTTCGCTCACCTTGTGTTGTTCACTTGTTAAGTGGATTGCTTCTCCAATACATCCTCATCAACCCCTATGGATGTTGCTTGTGAGTGAACCTTCATGTGTTGCAGAAGTAGATGAAGTAGTTGTGGACGTTATCGTTGAGGATGATGGCAAGCCCCGGCCTTGACCCAAAGTAGTGGCATCGAAAACGGGCCCTAGTTGAAGTCCATATGTGATATGGCGGTCTCCAATCACAAACTAGCCTTCACTGCCCTGTGTTTGATGATTGGCGACCTCAGACCTGACCCGCTTGAGCCAATATTTAGAGACGCATACTGTGGCAAAACCGCCTAATCTAATGCCTCACAGAGTACTTGTTTTCCATTAGACACTAAGTACTCAAGGGAGGACACTAAATTACGCAATTTCGTCGAGCACACCCCAAGGGAGAACCAAAATCCACATTTTTCCATTAGGATCACAAATGAGAGAATAAAGCTTACAACATTCTTAAGACATTTCTTACATCACTTTCCATGCAACATCAGAGCATAATATTTATTATTTATAACAGCGGAATATAACCATCTATTAGAGTTTTAGTGGAAATAAAACCATTTAACGATAAGTTAAACCTTAATATGATGATTCGTTATATACATCATAATAGGTTATAAGTTTTCCATTGTAAAACATTTTGGGTGGATGTTTCAAATAAACTCTATGTCCGCAACTGATGAGGACATTAACACACCGACGAAAAATTTGTTCCCAACTCGTTGCCATGTCGCCCGGATTCAGCAGAGGTTTCCATAACTTTCTCATACGACATAGTTCCACATGTTCTTGGATGCGTTGGAAAGGGGACGACAACGCCGTGTTTTGGATCTGGTCCCAGCTCTAGAAGGTCCGTGGATCATTCTGTGTGACCATGGCAAGGTGCTGCGTCACCTATTTGGGCCAACTTGGCCATGTATCATGTCGGGCCTTAAGCCCAAGTTGTGGGCGCCAACCCCGGCCGTCCCCAACCCTAGGTCGAGTCTTAGACTATAAACACAGCCGTCGCCGCTGCTACACAATTGGGTTTTGTTTAGAGTTTAGTTTTCCATCGAGCTCGCTCATTGTAACTTATTTTACAAAGATCCAGGGCCCCGCTCTTGATCTCCTCCACTGTGTCGAAGTCCTTTAGAACT